TCGTGATATGATAGTAGCACTATCGCCCAGCACTAATGACAAACACCACATCCTGTACCATTAGCTGAACATTTCTACATTAAAATATTACAAGATAACATGTTACTAGTCACATGTACATCATGCATGACTACCAATAGGAGGGGGCAAGGGGGAATTAGCAGTAGACCCCCAATTAAAGGGGCCCCCTAGTCTCAGGTTAAAAGTAAACTCTTGGGACTTGGGGGCCTAATACAAACTTTAAAATACAACTTTCAATATTGATGAGATACATAATAGTTATAGAACAGTAAAGAGTGCTGTATGGCTGATAACAGCACAAGGGGTGGAGTCAAGACAGCCAATACAGCTACGTGCATAGCTTTGGATATTTTTTGGAATTTTTTGAAATGGCTGTAACTTGAAAAATTGAAGTAGGAATCAGCTCAAACTTTCTACACAGCATAAGGACGTCAATATGTATCAGATAATGTAATAAAAAATTAGGGTGATTTTTTGGCCATTTTTTGGGAAAAACTATGAGCTATAGCCTTAGGTATTTTTCAGAATTTCGGTGTTTTCTTAAAATGGTTGTAACTTGAAAAATTGAAGTCCGAATCAGCTCAAACTTTCTACACAGCATAAGGACATCAATATGTATCAGTAAATGTAACAAAAATTTGGGGTGATTTCGGAGCCATTTTTGGGAAAAACCATGCCTTGGGTATTTTTCAGAATTTTGGTGCTTTCTTAAAATGGCTGTAACTTGAAAAATTGAAGTCGGAATCACCTCAAACTTTCTACACAGCATAAAGACATTAATATGTATCAGATAATGTAATAAAAATTTGGGGTGATTTTGGAGCCATTTTTTGGAACAAACCATGGGCTATAGCCTTGGGTATTTTTCAGATACCCAATATATTTCCCAGTATCTCCAGTAGTGCTGGATCAGACACAAAGAAGAACTGAGGAATTTGTACATGTACATAGTTAGAGTAGAGACTGACCTATGAATAATAAACCCACCATATAATCATTAATGTACATGTACATGTTCATAGTTAAGTGCTGTACATGTACATGTATATGCATAAAATCATCAAAAAATTTACAAAGAAATAAAGCTGCCATACATTAAAGTGCTGTACAAAATACAAATTATTTAAAGAGGACTACAGTACAATTTATACAGTATAGATCTACCATCTTCATCATAATTGCTTATGGTGTCATCAATCCTGTTTGAAAACTCTAGCAGAAGGTTCCAAGTGTCTTTGGGTATTGCCAGCTCTTTTATAATGAGACTGAGAGGGAGAGAGAGAGAGAGAGAGAGAGAGAGAGAGAGAGAGAGAGAGAGAAAGAGATGAAATATAACGTTTACATGTAATTACAAGTATTGTTTACTCTTAAAAATTCACACCACAAGTCCAAAAATTTGAAGCGACCAGTAAAAATAAGATTCCAGCAGGCAATGGCCATCTCAAGATCTGTAGAGAAATAAAAAGCACAAAAGATTTTAATCAATTCATACAATATACATTAAATCATACATGTACATGTACTCTCAAATTTTAGTAGGATCACTTGCAAAATTCCCCCATCAACACGTGTACATTGAAATCATTGTGTGGCAAGTTTAGTAAACATGATCCTACATGTACATGTACATGTATAATATTATGTCACTAGCCTAGTCCTTTCTGCCCGAGTTTTTGGCAACATTAAACGTAAACTGGTAGAGGTCCTTGAACTGTTGTGAGTCCTGTATCTCTCAATCAATGGTTTCACACCTTTTACGGAGTTTATCAATGGAATCACACCTAAAAGAGGGAGAGGGGGAGAGAGAGGGAGAGAGAGACAGAGACAAAGAGAAAGAATTATACATTTATTTGTAGAGAGAATGTGAACTATGCTTTTATGCTTAAAGCAAAACTCATGAAATACAGTGATTAGAACATGTACAACATAATAGGAGAATGTTCATGTGCAATGAATGTGTCCATCAATACACACACTGCATGTACTGTACCTTCCAAACGAAGAAGAGATCCTTCAA